CTGTAAGTCCTGAAATGTTAGGATTGTGCAAGGAAGGCAGGGGCCTGGATTGGTACATGATACCTCACTGGGACCTCCTCCCAAGCACAGTGGTTACATACAGCCAGAACTCAGCAGCACTGGCATTCATGAGAGGTGTGAGAATGTGAGGATAAAGGATTGTTTGATCTGATTCTTCAGAGGAATTACTTGTTTGGAGATTTTTTTTTTTTTTTTAACATTGATGGTTTTGGTTCTTTAGGAAGAGTCCTGAAAGTAGGAAAGTTTACATGTGTGTAACTAAGTCATGAATTTAAACTTGATACCCTGCACTTTAAGGCTGCTGTGTGTCACCTCTAGTGAGCCTGATTTGTACCACATTTGGTCTGGTTTTGTTGTGCTAGACTAGAATCGACAAAGATGATTTTTATGAGAGTGCTTAGGCTCTTGTGCTGTACGGACAGTTTGGGGTCTTTGGATACATTCCAGTGGCTATCAGGAGTATCGTGTCCTACTGACAATTTGATTTTTGAGTTGAATGGATATGAATTAAGTAGTACCTGATTTCTGTTTGGCTTAATACATAATGAATTTTATTGTCTCGTGAATAAAACTGAACACTTCACGACTACATGATGGGGAAACATGTAGGGGGCTTTGTCCCTACTGAAATATTTTTCTTACAGTTGTTTTTGAATTTTATTTTAGGCAAAAGTCAACAACTCTAGCTTAATTGGAGTAGGCTACACTCAGACTCTGAGGCCTGGTAAGTATTCTTGATAAAGTAGGATTGTTTTGATATTAAAAAAATTAGTTTTCATTCTTCAGCTTATTTTTCAGACCTTTCAAGCACACAGAAGAGTTGAAAGAAGAGTACAATAAATACATGTTTACCTTTTGCCACAACTCTCTTTCTTTCCTTCCTTTCTTTTTGTTTCTTTTCCTTTCTTTCTTTCCCTCCCTCCGTTCCTTCCTTCCTTTCTCTTTCTTTCTCTCTCTCTCTAAAATAAAAGTAATTTTTATTTTGTTGATAAAAGTTCACTCATTGCTTTGGTTCTGTCTATAGTCTTGTTGACTTTATATAATATTTTGAAGCATGCTGTGTCTAGAGCAGCATTTCTCCAACTTCACAATGCACATGACTCATCTTGGAGTCTGGTTAAAGTACTGGGGACTTTCCCCCCTCCAAATAGGGATTTTCCTTCCCAAAGTTTATTTTGGCGATTTTGAAACCTAAAGAAAAGTTGGAAGAATGGTACAGTGAACATCATATACCCTTACCCTATGTTGACCAGTTATTAAAATTTACAGCATTTATGTCTCTGAAACTTCACATACTTTTTTTAAAAAACTGTATGTTTTGCAGACATACAGACACGGCAGCTCCTAGCATGTGTATCCTAAGAGTAAGACATTTTTCTTTATAAGCACAATACCATTATCGCATCTAAGAAAACTAACATTAATGTAATACCAAATATATATTCAGATTTACCCCGTCCCCAAATGTGTCTTTATTGTAGGTTTCCCTTTCTAGGATCTAATTATGATTATGTCTCTAGTCTCTCTTCATCTGGATAGTATACTCAACATTATTGTATATTCTAGAGCACTTTGAACTTGTTATTAAAACATTTCTCTGTGACTTGGTGCCTTACCTAGAATGGTAACCCAGTCCTTCTGGTGTCTCAGATACTTCCAAGCGCCCTCTGGTGGCCAGCACTAGTAGGTCAGCTGACAGGCTGAGGAAGTGACAGGCAGGCTTCTGGGGATGACTGTGAAAGAAGGCTCAGACTGAGTGAAGTGCCAGGTACATCACAGTGTTTTGTTTTTGTGTTTGTCTTAATAGGTGTGAAGCTTACACTCTCTGCTCTGGTAGACGGAAAGAGCATTAATGCTGGAGGTCACAAGCTTGGGCTCGCCCTGGAGTTGGAGGCTTAATCCAGCTGAAAGATACCTTTGGGAATGGATATCAGAAGATTTGGCCTTAATATATTTCCATTGTGACCAGCAGCAGGCTTTTTTTCCCCCAAGAAGATGATCAAAACAAAGAATGATCTCAACAAGAGCTGTATTTTAAGTATTTAGACAGTTCCTTGTTAGCTGGTTTCTAGTTGAATTGGTTATCTAGTTACCAATGCTGCAGTCCTGCAGTCACCTATACATTATTTAAATGTATTTAACTGTTAAATGCGCTACCCACCAATAATGAAATAGACCTTTATGAAAACTGTGCAATTGTGTGCATGTTTGTTTTTATGTTCCTTTAGAAAACATTGACTATTACCATTGAATGAGATGGATCAGTGGATATTGAGATGAGGTTAAAAATTTTGTTAAGTTCAGCCATTATTACTTTTGGTATCCCAGAACATGACAAATTATGAATAAAACAAGTATACATAATTAATGGCTCCAAGTATTTGCAGAGTTCCATGTTTGCCAGCTAGGGTCAAATCTCCGTGGTAGCTAGCCAGTATTTAATTTTTCCAGTGAGTATTTTGCTCTTTACTTAAATCTGTGCCACAGAATCTTCTGTGTCCCTAGAATAATTCCACGAGCTTTTTAAGACTACAGTAAGAGGATACATGCTTTTATACTCTTCAGTTTGTAAGTCTGTGCAGAATTGCCCTGCATAACTGAAAGGAAAAAGAAGGTGCTGAAAAGATACACAAACACACCATACCCCTGTGAGCTACTGCTAGGAAAATAAAGTAGGCCCTGATTTGGTGCGATGGTGTTAGGCGTACAGAAGAGTAAGTTGTAGACAGTAAGGGTAACCTGTGGGACTCTGAGAGATCATTACTCATTTCCTTCTAGGCAGACATTGAAAGGTGGGTATAGGTAGGAGACCAGAGGCAACCCCTTTTGGCTGTGTAGCATTGGCCTTCATCTGGGTACGAATGAGACATTAATAGGTGGTTCTGATTGGAAAAGTAGGAAAGAGCAAGTTTTCTGATAGGAGATAATTGGAATGATATGATTAAATAGGCTGGAGAAGATTTGTTCAACAAATCTGTAATAGTAGACCTGAAGAATGGTAGAGCCTGAGTGATAAGAAATGGGTAAGAAAATGGAAGGACTCATCACCTAAGAAATGATACATGCTACAAACTTTTGAGATTGAGAAGAAGCTGGTGAGAAACCAGAGCTCAAGCAAGCTGTGCACACAGGAGGGTTGGGGGCATGAAGACCCCTCTGGTCCCACTTTGTCCTAGGGGACTGGCTTGAATGGCCCATGTGAATCATGGTTCTCTGAAAGGCCCTCTCCAGACAGACATGACTTAAGGGACAGAAGGTTAGAATTTGAGTCAGCCTGAGTCAGGTAAGAGGAGAAACATGAAAAGATGTCCATGCAGGCTAGGCCTGAAAGCAACTCTTACAGTGTAAAGTAGACCCACAGGTAACTAATCACTGCTGGTGGTCCTCTAAAGGGAAAAATCCTAGTCATGGGGACTGCTGCCCCTTAGCTAACAGGTGGCCCTTTATTGGGCAGTGGCTACAGTAATTTAGACTGAGGTGTGGCACAAGTGAGTTAGCTGGCTGTCAAGGATCTGCTTAGAGTAAATTGAACCTATCCACTCATGTGCATCGTAATATGCTTTCATGAGTTAGAAAAGTGTAGGTTTCCAGCCATGGTCCTGTGTAGTGTCCAAAATGCAAAGTGTGTCCCAGGAGCTGTGAGGTCATGTGGCCTTTTTTTTTCTTTTTTCTTTTTAGACGAGTCTCGCTCTGTTGCTCAGGCTGGAGTGCAGTGGTGCAGTCTGGGCTCACTGCAACGTCCGCCTCCTGGGTTCAAGCAATTCTGCCTCAGCCTCCCCAGTAGCTGGGATTACAGGTGTGTACTACCACACCTGTCTAATTTCTGTATTTTTAGTAGAGACCAGGTTTCACCATGTTGACCAGGCTGGTCTCGAACTCGTGACCTCAAATGATCCACCTGCTTCAACCTCCCAAAGTGCTAGGATTACAGGCATGAGCCACTGCACCCAGCCTCATGTAGCTCTTTAGCCCTGCTTCCAGCAGTCTCCAGGGACACTTCCCATCACCGTGGCTTACCAGGTAGTGACAAGGCTGCTTGAATTCCAGGCTAATGCCACTTATGCCTGAGGCAGTGTCAGTGGAAAGAATTTGACCTTCATCTGTCAGTGGAGATAAGATCTATGAGGTTGGGGAGATTTAAATGAGGAGCAGAGCACCTGGGTCAAAAGTGCTCCATAAGGCCTGGTTCCTTCTCCACCTCACCTCATAGGCAGATGGTTCAGGAAAGCCTGAAGTTCTCTTCATCCTCTAGGGAGTGTGGTAACAACTGCTGTACCTATAGGCTTCTTTGCCTCACACCTCCCTGGCCAATGATCCCCCTCACTTTCCTTCAGAATTTCAAGGAGACGGCGGGATACTCAAGTCAACCCCGAGGGCCTCAGGTCCAGGCCAACTGACCTGGCTCTCAGAGGTGATGTTCCCCTACCAGGGCCTCCACTGGAGAGGTGAGGCTGGGGAGCTGACTGTGCTGTGAAGATATGAGCAAGCCGCCAGCAGAACTGGCATCACCTACAAAAGCACACAAGTGACACCCGTGGACACCTGCAATCCTCTTTCCTGTTGTCAGACACCATAGTGGCCCTCCACCAGTCCCCAGCTTCACGGAACCAGAGCTTTGCCTGCCCTGAGGGAGAGATGTAGGAGGGAGACAAGCCTGAGGAGCTGGGGTCTCTGGCCATTACATGTGGCCAGGCCAATTAAAACTTCATAACCTGTCTCCTGCCAGCTGGAGGTTCCTGCAGTAGGGCCACAGACCTGGCGCCAGGGAGGGGACAAACCTCAAGGCCCCTTTCACTGAAGGAGCTATCTGTGCTGGGCCTTCCCTCCCTTCCCCATCCAGCGCCACACACGGAGGCTCAGGAGGTCGTGTGTCCCAGCCCCACTTTATTTTCGAATTTAAAACTCAGGGTCAATTCCTGGGGTTCCCAGGCAACCCTCCCTCGCTCACTAGGGGCCAGCCCTAGATCTTGAAGGCCAAGGTGAGGCCATCGCCCAGGGGCAGGAGGCTGATGTAGACCCTGACGTCCCGCCGGATGCGTTCGTTTAGGTTTCGCACACACTCGGCCGCCACGTCCCCTTTCGGAGGTTGCAGCACCTTCCCGCGCCACAGGACCTGCGGGAGGGCGGGGCCAACCGGGCCGTGGGAGGCGGGGCTTCAGAGGGAGGTGCTCGGGCGGAAGGCGGGGCCTCGGAGGGAGGTGCCCAGGCAGGAGGCGGGGCCTCGGAGGGAGGTCCCCGGGCGGGAGGTGACCAGAGCCGGAGACAGAGAACCAAAGCGGAGGAAAGCCTGGGTACCTACTGGGGCCGGAGCCCCGCAGGGGGTGGAGCCTATGTGACTGGACTGGGTGGGGCTTTGGGGTATAAGAGGAGTCAAGGAAAAAGATGGGGACCCGCCCCGAGAGGGTGCTTTCTCCTCCCCCGCAGTGGATCCCTTACTCTGAGGACGGCGAGGATGCCTCCGGGTCGCAGCAGCTGCAGGCAGCGCTCGTAGTAGGCAGCGCAGTTCTCCTTGTCCGCATCCACCACGGCCACGTCGAAGGTGCCGGCCTCGCCCGCCGCCAGCAGTTCGTCTTGCAGCGGGAGGGAGGGCAGGTGCGGCTGAGTCCGCGGCCCCGGCGTCCCTAAGGCCCCTCCCAGGCCGGCCCGGGCGCTGTGATAGCCGGCCGTGCCCTTAACCCGCAGGCCTAGTCACAGCTCGGCCACACAGCGACCTCGTTTGCAATGGCCACAAAACCCTTCCCGCTTCGGTGCTCACCCAGGGTCTGCAGGGCGGGCTTCAGCCGGAGGTCGATCTTGTGCTCCGCCTCGGCCTACGGAGGAAGCGGGTCAGCCGTTGCGCCCTCGCCTGGGGCTGCGGGGCTACGCGCGGGCGCTCACCTGCCTCCACAGGGGCCGTCCCAGCTCCGGGGGCTGCGCTTCCACCTCGCAGGTCACCACGCGCCCGTCTGCGGGCAGCGCCAGGGCCAGGGCCAGGGCAGAGTAGCCCGTGAAGGTGCCTGGGACCAGAACACAGACGGGCTCAGAGCAGAGTGGGGGTTGGCCCAGAAACCTCGGCCCTCCGGGATCCCGGCTGCGTGCCCCTACCCAGATCCAGCGCCTTCTTGGCCTGGATGAGCCGCGCCAGGTTGGCCAAGAGCTGGGCCTGCTCGCAGGTCATCATGGAATCCCCCTGCGGCTGCTCCAGGGTCAGCTGCGTGAAAGAAGGTGTCACCAGCCATGCCGGTTACCCACCTTCGCCCTGGGGTCCCAAACTCCCAGGAGCGCGGTTCTGGGCGTGGCCTGGGGGACAGACCCTCCGGGAACGCCCACCGCACCCGGCCCGGGGAAGCCGGAAGCCCAGAGAGGGCCACGGCCCAGCCCAAGGTCACACAGCCACGTGGGACCCGCAGGGCCCGAGAGGGACGCCCGTTCCCGTCCCGCGCCCTGCTGACCAGCCTCAGGCTTCGCAGCGCCGGGTGCTCCCGCATGGAGCGGCTCAGAAGATACTGCCACAGCGGGCTGTCCTCGGGGGGAAGCAGGCACTGCTCTCGCCGGCCTCGCCATGGGGGGCACCGCCTTCCTGCCAGGGAGAAGATATTGGATCAGGGTACAGGGCTCTGCGGCCACAGGGTAGTTAACCTGAGCCACGCCGCGCCCTCCTTTGCGCCCGCCCGCCGGGACAGGGTCCTGCTCACCCAGGAAGAGGCCAGTGGCGAAGGCCGCGCCCAGCGCGGCTGAGCCCAGGGCCAGCGCGGCGGGCACGGAGAGCCGGGGCACCGGCTGGGTCATGGCGCGGGCAGGAGGCGGCGGGAGGCAATGGCAGGTCACGTGCGCTGGAGCTCCTGGGACACGTCTCGGATTCGCGGGCCCGCCGGGCTCCACCTTGTCTGGGCACTGCCCGCGGAGCAGTGGTCTCGGGCATCATCTGGCGGCCACACAGCCTTACTGCAAGCCCTGCCCGATAGAGCCGGGCGCGATCTGGTGGCCGCGCCGGGAACTGCGCCCCTGCGGGCAGCAGGCAAGCGCTGGATCTGAATTTTCCCGCCTTTGCCCGCAGTCCAGGGGCCTGCGTCCATTGCTCCTCCTGCCAATGCTTTTTCTCCTCGCCACTATTTATTCTGAGGCCCCTTGGGGCATATGTGGATTGTGTATGGAGGGCGCCAGTGTAAATTACAAGATAGTCACAAGTACAAAAGATACAGATTAAAGGGGGAAGGTCTCCCGAAGGCCTCCCGGGCAAGATGCCCCAAAGCATCAGGCTGAAGGAGTGAAGGACCTGGTTTGAGGGCACGCAGCCTCGAGTTGGGGTTCAGGAGCCCTGGGGTGGGCCTGTGGAACTGGGACCATATTCTTAGCTGTTAAAATCCTGCCTTTGGGGGCCAGATAGATATGAGCGTCTGATCTTGGGCCTGCCAGTCTCTCTGAGCCTCAGTTTCCTTCCTGTAAAATGAGGCCCACAATCTTACCATAAAAGGCACCAGATCCCACAGCTTCGCACACAGTAGCACAATAGGTAAGTGGCAGCCGCTGTTATGTTTGTAGGTTGGAAGACATCTTGAGGAGAAAGCCAGTGAAGCTCCCTTGCAAGGTTGTTCTGCTGAAACAGTCCGGAGAGCACTGATTGAACCCCTACCATGCGCCAAACTCCGGAGGAGGTGAAAGACAGTCTTTTTTTTTTTGTCCGGGTCTCGCTCTGTCACCCAGGCTGGAGTGCAGTGGCACAATCAAGTCTCACTGCAACCTCCACCTCCCAATTCAAGCGATTTTCCTGCCTCAGCCTCTGGAGTAGCTGGGACTACAGGCACGCACCCCCACACGCTGCCAATTTTTGTATTTTTTTGTAGAGATGGGTTTTGCTATGTTAGCCAGGCTGGTCTCGAACTCCTGGCCTCAAGTGATCTGTTTGCCTCGGCCTTCCAAAGTGCTGGGATTACAGGCCTGAGCCATGGTGCCTGGCCTTGTTCTTTTTCTTTTTTTGGCAAGGTCTCTGGCATGGCTGAAGTGCAGTGGCAAGATTACCGCTTACTGCAGCATGGAGCTCCTGGGCTCAGCAATCATCTTGCCTCACCCTCCCAAGTAGCTGGGACCACAGGCAGTCACCACTGTGCCTGGCTAAATTAAAAAAAATTTTTTTTTTAATTGCTAGGATTACAGGTGTGAGCCACCGCACCCGGCCAAGAGTCCATTTTAACAACGCTGACTAGTCATTGAAATCCACTGGGGGGTATCCCAGGCAGGGGCTAAGCCTGAGCAAGGCCCAGAGGTCGGCTTGTTGAGGGGTTAATGGGAGAGTGGCTTGGCTGAGGACAAAGTCCAGAAACTTGGAGTCATCTGAGCTGCAGGAACCTTGGGCCTAGTGGAGGCAAGGAAGGAGGCGGCGAAGCTCTGGGGGGAGGCTCCGGGCTGGAGGGCACGGCCTCTAATCAGAGACGGGGTGGGGCTGGTTCTTAGACCAATCAGCCGGCAGCCCCAGGAGCACACGGCTGTGTGGGGGCAGAGCCTGCCGTCTCCGTGCCCAGATGCCCTTTTAGCCCTCCTGGGACTTGCCACCGGGCCAGCAGCCCTGCTCGAGGACAAGCTTCTTGCCCTTTACTCTTTTACCCTCTACATCTTGCTTGGCCTCTAACTTGACTGTGAGCCTCTTTCTGTAGGGTAAGGACTGAGGATGCTGGTCTCTCCTTCCCAGGACTGAGCACATGGCAGGCGCTAAATAAATGCTCTTGAATAGAGTCCTGGCGCTGCCCGGCGCTCCTTGCTGCCAGGAGTAAAAATAGTAACAGCAGGACCCCTTTATTGAGGACCTGCGGGGCACCAGACACAATACTTCCAGGATCCGGGGACGGCTGTGATCTTGTTCCCATTTTCCAAGCAGGAAAGCTCAGAGACCACCGCCCAACCCCCCAGCCAATAGAGGAAATGCGCCTACCGCTCCCCTGTACCCTGGGACCCAGGGGGAACAGGCCTTCCTGGCTCCACTGCTGGGACGAGAGCCCTGCGCTCAGGTGGGGCCGGGGAAGGCCCTCTCCCTTCAGCCCAGGGGTCCAGGTTGCAGCAGGCCCCCAGCTCACACTGTAACTCCCTCCCACAGCCTGGCTTTAGGCCGGAGCCGTGGAGGTTGAGGGCGAGCGGGTGGGGAGGGGAGGCATGTCACCATATATCCCCGTCAGATTAAAAAACTAATTTGAAAAGATTAATGTATTCCATTCTTGTTACACTGGCTGTGATACCTCTGGGCCTGCCGCCGCTCTGCTTCCTGATTATTGAATTTTTATGGCCTGGTAATTAATTGCAGATTCCCTGTTTTGTTCTATTTCTTTTTCTCTGACATTTTAATTTCAACAAAAAGCAGTGGTCTCCATGCAGGTTCTCTCTGGAGATCCTAATGGTCTATAAAACAGAATGACTTATAGACGTGGCACCCACTTCAGTTGGCGAGCGATTGTTTGAAACCTTGCTGATCATGCAAAATTTAATTTTTCCACCTCCCTCCCCTTTTTGCTACTCATTTCTTGTCTCTTGCATTGCGGCACCAGCATCTCAGCTCACCATGAAGTGAGCAGTGTTGCCTCCGAATCTGTTCTAGGGCTTTTTCCTAGAAGCCTGGGGGATGAAGACAGAGTGGGTTTTGATTCTTCTCCTGGCAGTGGGCCTGGTAGTGGGTGGGGTGGGGGGCTGAGCCTCCCTAAAAGGCCATGTGGATGTGGGCAGCAGCCCCCAGGGGAGGGAATGGGCAGGGGAGGTCATTTTCACCTGTCTCAGGTGCCTTCTGGCCAAATGCCATTGCCCCATTAAGCACCAAGGAACCTGAAGCCTCATCAGGGCAGAGAAAATGGGCATCAGCACCTGCACTTAGGCCCCCACCAGGCACAGAGGGAGCCAGTTCAGGCTGAGTGGACTGACGCAGACAGATGCAGATAGCCTGACAGTCTTAGCTGAACGGGGTCACTGGGAACAGCTGTCCACACAAACAGGTCTGGAAGAGACCCTTGAGTTTCCATCCTAGTGGCCCCACTCCTATTTCTCATAGCCCTGCTAGCATCACACAGGCTGGCTGCTGTCACCTGGGATCTCCTGAGACTGAGCAGGGCAGGAGGCAGAAGGGTAAGGTCATAGAATCAATCCTAAGGGATTGGAGTTCAGATGTCTTTTGGGTCCAGGGAGGTGAAGTAAGTAGGGGGAGATAATAGGGGGTGGTGGGGACTGGAGCACTCCAGAGCTCACCCTTCACCAGGGGACATGGTGGCCACTTGGCTTTAGCCTTGGATGCCAAGTGGGAAGATGGGCCCAGTATGGCCAGAGCTTCCAATTCCCCAACAGAGTTTGGCAATATGGCTTTCAGTGTGAAACTTCACATTTTAAACATCGGGGTGTGTGTGTGGGTGGGGGTGTGTGTGTGTGTGTGTGTGTGTGTTTAAACACTGTTGGCCAAACTGAACACATCTTTTTTTTTTAAATTTATTTTTTTGAGTCGTAGTCTTGTTCAGTCGCCCAGGCTGGAGTGCAGTGGCGCGATCTCGGCTCACTGCAACCTCTGCCTTGCCTGCCAGGTTCACACCATTATCCTGCCTCAGCCTCAGTCTGAGTAGTTGGGACTATAGCGCCTGCCACTATGCCCGGCTAATTTTTTGTATTTTTAGTAGAGATGGGGTTTCACCATGTTAGCCAGGATAGTCTCGATCTCCTGACCTCGTGATCTGCCCATCTCGGCCTCCCAAAGTGCTGGGGGATTACAGGTGTGAGCCACCACGCCCAGCCTGAACATGTCTTTGAGCTTCATGTCTGCTCTGGCTCATGCGGCACCAGTTTCCTCTGACTCTGAGCATGAATGAGAGAAGTTAGGGCATGAAGCGGAGTCCCCTAGAGTGAGAAGGGCCTCAGTGGCCAGCAGACCACCACCGATGTCTGGGTGAGGTCTGCTGGGCTCCCTGAGGAGAACACTACCTTTTACCTAAGATGTCACAGGAGGCAGGGCTTTGACTCCAGGGGCTTTAGGACGGTTCAGGCCAAATGCACTGACACAGATAGACACAGACAGATGGCGACTTGGGGGCTCCTGGGGCTCCTCACATGAGCTGGGAGCATGAGGGGGCCACAGTCTGGTCCCACCTCCTCTGTGCTGAGATACTGGGGAGCTGACCCTGGCAGTGCCTCTTGTGACTCATTTTCCTCATCTAGGGAGGCTGAATGGGAAAGCCACAGCGTGGGCTTTAGAACAGATGAACTTGGGTTCAAACATCTGCCCCACCACTCACTTTGCAGCTGAGTAAGCTCAGGATTTCTGAGAAACTCTAGAAAACTAGGAAATGAGCATGAACCTTCTGTCTTCATTTTCCATTGCTGTACAACAAATTGCCACAAAGTAAGTAGCTTAAAACAAAACCCACTTGTTATCTCGCAGAGCGTAGGTCAGAAGTCTGACAAGGCTGGTTGGATTCTCTGCTCAGGGTCTCACCAGGTTCAAGACAAAATTCTCCCCTGGGGCTGTGGGGCCTCTTCCAAGCTCACCAATTGTTGGCAAAATTCAGTTCCTTGTCCTGAAACCCTTCCATCTTCAAGGCCAGCAGAGGCACCTGGCATCTTTCTGGTGCTCCCAATTGCTGTCTTCCTCTTTTGCTTATTTTTATTTATTTTTTTTGAGACTGTGTCTCTGTCACCCAGGCTGGAGCGTACTGGCACAATCTCAGCTCACTGCAACTTCTGCCTCCCAGGTTCCAGTGATTCTCCTGCCTCAGCCTCTCGAGTAGCTGGGATTACAGGTATGTACCACCACGGCCAGCAAACTTTTTATTAGTAGGAACGGGGTTTCACCATATTGACCAGGCTGGTCTCGAACTCCTGACCTCAGGTGATCCACCCACCTTGGCTTCCCAAAGTGCTGGCATTACAGGTGTGAGCCACAGCGCCTGGCCCCTCTTTTGCTTTTAAGGGCTCCTGTGATTA